TAAGCTTCACTGAGCCCCGATGTGCATGCTGAGATTGAAGAGACAACAAGAATTGACTTTTCATTTCAAAGCGAGCAAGGCAACAAGACTGAGCTCAAGCTCTCCTCCTGGCTTCGGGAGCCCCACTGCCAGCCTGTATTTGATGTCACCAGCCTAAGGAAGTTCTATAGAAGAAGTCAAATTACAAATGTTAACTAATTGGTAAATATACTTTTGGTTTTTAATTTGAGTTTATGTAAAAACAGTGTTTCTTATACATTACAAAGTTTTGAGTTTGCAGGATTAACTTGTTCTTTACTCTGTTGTTTGAAAATAAAAACACTGATTTAATGTTATTCAGAGGTCTCTTTGGCCATAGGTCAAGTTTACTATCTGAGAGGGAAAAAAAGGACACTTTAAAATCCAAGCAGCTACAGTTAAGTTTGTTATAGAAAGTTATAGTAAATGGGAGAAAAAAATATTTAGAAGGCAATACATGTAAGAAATACACTTTTGGTATAAAAGGATCCTGTATGATGAAAGTTTTGTTCTGCTAAAGAGGTAAGAGAGATAATGACAAGACTAGAAAGTTTATGTACATCAAGGAAAGCTTAAAAAAAAAAATGGGCCTAGGGTTTAGCCTTGTAAGTGCAAGGTCATGAGTTTGATCTCCAGTACAAAAAAAAAAAAAAAAAAAGAAAAATATATATGGCTCCTTGTTAATTTGATGGAGCTCAGGCTGTTCCTTCTAAAAACCCCCATGAGGGAAATAGTCAAATCGACATGAGATTATCAGTAAAATAATAACCTTTAAAAATAACATATGACATATATGCTGTGTGTTATTATTTCATTCAATACTAAGATGGACATTTAAATATGTTATTGGCATACTAAATTATGTGTGGATTGTGATCTCAGGTTTTCTTTGTAAAACTTTATAATTGCTACCTATTAACATTTTGCAGGGACTCAACTACTAAGACAACCATAATTGATAAGAAATAACAGCCCTTGGCTACACTTTACATTTCAAAGTGCTTAATATTCAGATAAAATTATAATAATTAAGCCTCTTACAATCCTAATACCACTGATTTTCTGTTCTGGGTGTTCAACAACTAAAGTTTAGAGACCAAAGCTAAAAAAGGTGACTACACTAAGAAAAACAAACAATGCCTCCCAGTCACTATATACTTCAGTTTGTTAGTTGCTCAGGTAATAGTTCCTGTTACAGATCTGATTCCTGTCGTCTCTTAAAAATAGCCGATCACTATGATGATAGACTGTCAAACTGCCGAAATATACTTCTTCTGCCTGAAAAGCCAACACAAGATCTCTGTGCCCTCAATCTGGCCACCATGACCTTCTACCCAATGGTCCCAAACCCACGCACTCTCCTGGGCTTGCTTCCTTCTGACATTGCCTGGTTTACCTGCTTGGGCTTAAAAAGATGCTTTCTTTTGCCTGAGAGTGGCCTTCTGCTTGGTTTTCTGTTTATGAATAGCCCCCTGCCTGTCAATTCTTGTTTACTCTTGAAGGGGGGAAACAAACAAATTGACTCTTGGCCATCATCACTGCAAAAGACATAACAAGTAAAAATGGCAGAGATCCAGTCCTGGATTCATCACCCTAGGATCAAGGACAATCCTGACGATTGTTGAAAGCCTATCCTGATGAGAGAAGCCCACTAAAGACTACCTTAACGAGGCAATGCGCTCAAAGCCTTGTTTTCATCATTCAGGATGCTAATGAGTCAACACATTATTGAAGATTAGATGGACACTGTACACTGGAGTACCTGTCCTAACTGACTGATGTTTCTGTTATCCAGTTTGCCTTTTAATTTCCCTTCTCTTGCTAATTTTATTACTTGCTACAGAACCCTGGGCTGTATCCCCAAAGGATTGGAAGCCCCACAACATTGGTGTAACTATTGTATTAGGTACCTTGATCTGTTTTGTCAAGTTATAGATTTAAGGTATTTTTACTCTGCTTGGTTCCTAGTTCCTTATCTCCTGTTAATTTCTTTTTCTTTTTTTCTCCTGTTAATTTCAATGTCCACTTTAAGTCTCTAGATCACAACTTTAATAGACTGGACACCCATCAGAAGGCTGCTTTTGTTCTCTCCTATATAAGTACAATTCTTGGGCCGCTAATGGCTCTCCTGACAGTCCTCCTTCTAGGTCCTTATGTGATCCACATTCTGAATTGTTTTATGACTAAATGCTTTAAGGCCATAAACTGCCAACTCCCCTTACAGTTAAGCCCTCTTATCAGCTTCTTACAACTGAGGAAACTGAGGAAGAAGAATTTCCCCATAAAAACAAAGGGGAGAATGTGACAGAAAAGTTAAAAAGTTTGATGCTCTGTTAAGACAAGATGTGCTCACCCAGTCCACCACATAGTTAGTCCACTAGACTAAGCCTTAACTGACCATACCAGCTACAACCCAGAGACAGTCTGACCGACTCAGCTTGACCACATCCATCTGGACTGCCTGTACTGTCTGACACCTATTTTCAAGTACTGTCCAATTGAGATAAACTAGTCAAGCACATGCTTAGTTTCAACGAACCCCTCAGCCCCAGTTCCCTCCTTCCCTATTTTCTCCTGTCTTATGACAGACAACCCTCTGACTAATCTGCCGGGAACCAACCTGTCTGACAACATACAACTTGATTCACATAACCAGTTACATGATAATCTGCTGTCAGCTTTTGTATTTCCTGCTTAATAAGTATATCCAAGTTTCTGTTTTATTCTCAGTCAGTGCTGGTGATTTGAACTTCGTCCCACCAGCCCACTAGCATAATAAATAGTTGCATTCTAACTCCTCAGTGCAAAGGGTCTTCCATTTGGTTTGATATCAGATTTTCAGAACAAAATAAGAGATATAAAATAGAATCAATTTGAGACATGGTCAGAATTGAAAACTTCATTCAGACTTGAAAAGATACAAGACAAGACAGGCCATGAGACCTAGAAGACTTGTGTGGAATGGAACATCATTTTATATCGAACACACTAAATTAAAAAACAAACTTTCAGAATAAGCAAGGATGTCCCCTACCCAAATTTCTATGCATCAGCATACTGACAAATCTACTCAGAGCAATTAGTCAGGAAAGCAAAATAAAAAGGCACCTAAATTCATCCCTGAATGGCTGAAAATAACAAGGGTTGAAAGAATATAGAGAAATTGGAACAATTGTGTACTGCTGATGGCAATGGTGTAGCAGCTTTGTATTACTGTATGACAGCTTTTCAGACAATTAAACAAAGATGTGACCTACCAATTCCACCTCCATGTATAGAATCAAAAGAAGTCAAAGCAAGGACTTGAATAAACATTTGTATGCCTGTGTTCATAGTGGTATTATTCACAATAGCCAAAAGGTGAAAGCAAATCAAGTGTTCATTAATGGATATTTGAATAAATTAAATGTAGTAAATATATACAACAGAATATTATCTGGTTTTAAAAAAATGAAAAAAATTCTGAAGCATGCTAAAACAGGGATGGATCTTTACAACATTATGTTAAGTGAACTATACTAGTTAAATAGGGACAAACATTCTATAAGTCCACTTAAATAAGGTCCTTAAAATAGTCAAATTCATACAGATAGAAAGCACAATGGTGGTTCCCATGGGTTGAGGGAAAGGGAATAGGGTCTAGTGCTAATGTATATAAGTTTCAGTTTGGGAAGACAAAAATGTTTTCAAGATGGATGATGGTGATGATTGCACAAAATGTGATTGCTACAGAGCTGCACATTTAAAAATGATTCAAAAAGTAAGTTTTGTATTATGTATATTTTCTTACAATAGAAAAGAAAGAAAACATAAGGGTTGGTCTTAATGGCCTTGTATATAGCAATGGTTTCTTAGATATTACATCATAAAAAAAGAAAAAAATTGAGATTTCATCACAATCAAAAATTTGTATTTTGAAGGATATAATAAAAAAGCGAAGAGAAGGCACACAGAAAAGGGAAAAATATTCATAGAACATATATTAGATAAAGGTCTAGTCAGTATCTAGAATATCAAGAATTCTTAAAACTCAACAACAAAAAGAAAAATCCTTTAAAACTGAACAAAAGACTTGAATGGGCATTTATCCAAAGAAAATATATAAGTAGCTAGTGAGTATATGAAAATACTCAATATCACTAGTCCTTAGGAAAGGCAATCTAAAACCACAGAACTTCACACAAACTAGGATGCCTATTTTAAAAAGAACTAACAAATGAAAGATGTAGTGAAATTGGAAGCATCATTTATTGCTGGTAGGAATGTAAAATGCTGTGTCTCACCAGAAAACATTCTTTTTTTTTGTACCAGGAATCAAACTGATGACCTCACACTCACCAGAGAGGCACTTATGCCGCTAAACAAATCCCCAGCCCACAGAAAACATTTTGAACTGCCTCCAAAAGGTTAGCATCTGCTCTCCCACAAAGAATCAAATAAAGAAGACTGAAAACAGGTGCTAAAACAAACAAAATACATGAAGGTTTGTAGCAGCATTACTCATAATTACCAAAAGGTGGAAACAATACAATTGTCCATGAGCTGATGACAAAAAATTGGGGGGAATCCATGTAAGTCAGCCACAAAAAAGAATGAAGTACTGCAACATGCTACAACATAGATACACTTTGAAAACATTTCAAGTAAAAAAAGCTAGTCAAGAAAGATCACACTTTTCATGATTTCATTTATATGAAACACCCAGATTAGGCAAATCCAAATCCATAGAAAAGCAAAACAGATTAGTGTTTGCCACAGTCTGGGGCTAGGAGAAAATAGGACAGGACTACTAAAGGGGTAGAGTTTCCTTTTGGTGTGATGACAGTGTTATGAACTATGTATACAGCAGTGAAGATGCTATAACACCAAGCAGTGTTAAAGGCTACTGAATTGCACACTTTCAAACAATTATTTTCATAATTTTGTTATGTGAATTTTACTTCATTTTTTTTTTTTTAAAGCTCTGTCTTCATCACTCTTACCTGACAATTAACATCAGCTTTATACTGTAGCAAAACTGTGACTAGTTCCTTATGGCCTCGGTCACATGCCCAATGGAGTAGAGCTCTGCCCTAAAAACACACACACAAAAATATTAATTTGCTAACTCAGTTATGGAGTCATACAAAAGATATAACATTTTAAGACAGAGAAATAAAATTGTAGGTTCATTATTCTAGGAACAATTAATTAAAAAGCTATATAAGAAGAACAGATGACAATCAACTGGAAGCTCTGAGTCCTACTTCTATAGCCACTGCACTGTCTTTAAACCATCTGTGAGGTGGAGATAATGGTAATAACCACAGCAATATTATCAATAATAATTGCTGAATCAATGAACTGTAGGAAAATGCCTTGCAAAATTTAAAGTTCTTTATAAAAATACAGCTGTCTTAAATTATTATGTTCACTACTTCAGGAAAAAGAAATCTTTCTTATTGGCAAAAAGAATACTTAAACCTAGGTAGAAATCATAATTTAAATGAACTATTTCTAAATTAACTTTATCCTCTAAAAAATAAAACTAACCATTGTTCCTTAATGTTACAACTTTACCCTCTGAAATAGCTGAAAAAATCTATTAGTTCTATCATTTAATAGTTGAGTATGAAAGGCAATTGTAAAACAGAATATAGGACTGTTAGGAAATAAAGAACTAAATATAATACGATACATTAATTTTAACCCCTGTCTTCTAAAGTCTCATAGTTACTATTAACTATGTGCCAAAAATTTGTAAATGTAGGTAAATTTTCACTATTTGTTATAGTAGCAAAATTGTTTTATTACATTGTGCTTGGAGCCCATTAAGTTTTTTTTTGCTTTTTTTTTTAAAGGAAATCTTTCTAAAGGCCCAGTTTTATGTTTTTGAGACAAAGTCTGGCTAGCCTTGAGCTCACTTTGTAGCCTAAACTGGTCTCAAACTTGCAACGATCCTCCTGCCTCAGCCTGTTAAGTGCTGAGATTACAGATGTGAGCCACCACGCTCGGCTTAAGACCCAGTTTAAAAACAAAATATTTTGGAGCACTACAGCAGCATTTGCCATGTTACAAATTTCTAGAACCGTAGTGTATACTGAACTGTTGCTACGAAGGTACTAGTTCCAAAATCTTTTGCAAGGATGGTTGCTTTAATGGAACTCTTTTAACAAATATCAAGGTATACAATATTCTCTTGTTCCATATAACTGTTTCATGGCTTTTACATTAAAATAATCAGATAAAATTTCAAAGTCTCTATCATTTTAGGTTCTTATTTTAAGTTACTAAGTTAGAATATTAATAAAAATTACTACATACTTAAAATGATATGTGATATATGGACACATCCTAATAGTTAAGTAGGAAACATAATATTAATGTATCTAGTACTTTTACCATACGACATACAGATAATTTCTACTTCTCAAAAAGGTTTCTGATTTTTCCTTAGGTTTGACCTAAAAAGATTACTTCAACTAATGCTAAAATATAAATCCTTTGCTGTTTCAATGAGAAAGTAGACATGCAACACATTTTACTGTTAATGGGAATTATATTTTAAATTTGCCATATGTGGTGCCAAAAATTTACTTTAGGGGAAACACCTATGACTGGACCTCAGTAGTGATTTTCACTTGGGATATATTTTCCAGAAGGATGGCATAAGTACAGAAATGTTTCAAGAAGGATGATATGCTCTCAGACATTTACACTAAGCTTTTTAACATGTGTTTTGACCTGTGATGTAATAAATTTTTGTAACACATTATTTTAATGGTACACTAATTAACCTTGAATTAGAATAAATTCTCTGACAATGACTTTTTGTACAAGTGCTGAAAGATGTCGACACTAAGACCACATAATGATTAACATTTTATGTAGCATTAAAAAGTTCAAAAGCAAGAGTAGGATTAAATGTACTTGTAAATAAACACAGATGAAATAAATCAAGCTTTGGAATTTTTACCTGCATGAGACTCTCCTTTTAAACTAAGATGAGCACGGAAAAGTGTCTGTACCTTTTACTCCTTCACATTATAAAATTCCTGAATACATGCTTGTAAGATTATTATTCAAGTAATGACATTACCACTAATTCACCACTAATCTGAGTAATTCACAGAGATGCTCTCTCCACAACTAATTATGACAAAAATCAGGTAATAAATATCCACAGCTTTTCTCTGTTAACCAAAACTACTTAGACCAATACAATGCAATTATTAAATTATTTTAGATTCCATAAACTCTCCTCCAGAAGGAAAATCTTGAATTTGACATATATTAAAGCTGTATCTGTTTCAATACTTTACCTAAATCTAAAAATTGTTTACCTAGTTCTATGCATATTGCTTTCATTTTGTATTATAGTATCTCACACACTTTCAAGTTAAATATATGCTATACTGCAACCAAAACCACGTAACAATTCTTCGTTTTTAGTTTTTAGAACCCTTCTGGACAAATATCCCAGGTATATTTAGGAGATGAGGAGGGTAGTAATAAAATGAATCTATTAGGTACTAGAAGACTGCAGGCACTGCATGCAGAGCTCTGAATAAATCCTGGACTTTAAATATAGTAAAAAGGGGGAAGGATTCTCATCTGTTAAACAATGGTGTTAATACTGTCCTACCTCAGACAGATGAATGACTCTAAAGTGCTTTGAAAGTGCAGAGTAGCAACTAACCTATTAAGTGGTATTACTTGCATGCCTTTGGGGAAATACAAAGAGTAGGTCTTTGATATTTTAAATGCACCTTTGATATTCCAAGTTATTTGTTCTTAAACCATGTAGGATTCTACAAATTAATTTTTTTCTCGCTATCACAAGACTTAATGAAATAAATTCTATTATAAAAAGAATTTTGATGTCCTTATGACTTTTGGAGATGAGACACATGTACAAAAGATGCTCAAAATATATAGTCAATGTTTGAATTTTAAAAATTGTTATAGTAAAAGAGTTAATACCTCTCAGAGTGCTCCTGCTTTCTTTGAAAAATACTTGTTCCATCATTCTTGCTACCTTTGGGAGCAATACTGGAAGTCCTCTTTTGTTAGTGTCTTTATGTGGTGTAATAAAAAAATATGGTGAATGCTGCTGTTGTGTATCATCCAATGGAAAGACAGTCTTGGAAAAATCGTGTGGTGTGTCCTCATCTACCTAACTCCCTGGATCTGGCACTGCAAAACTTTTGGCTCTTTCCCAAAATCAAAATGACCATAAAAAGTAAATATTTTCAGTCAATTCAGGATATGGAGGCAACCACAATAGCACAACTAAAGATATAAAAAAGGACTTTCAGAACTGCTTCAAAGTGGCAAGAACCATGCAATAAGTGTGTTCAAAGCAAGAGAAAGTATTTTGAGTAGGGTTCATGGTAATGTGTCTTCTACTGTAACTGACTGAAATGCTAACCAAATTTTTTCACACTGCATACACATGTGGCAAATTGGAATAATTTTAAATTTAAATACTTATGTTTTAGAGAGTTGTCACTTGGCCATTTTATCAAAGACACATAGTACTGTCTAATAACAAATAAAATACTGAAAATGGATCAACCTTAACTTCTATCTGGAAAAACTTTGGGCTTCCATTTATAATTATAGTCAGCACTTATTTCAGCTACCAATAACCTATAAAGTCTTCATCTCTTCCACCCTATTCCTAACTTCTATTCTTTCATGCTGCTAGGAAGGAGGAGGAAGAAGACTGGGAGACAGTCTAAGATCTCAAGATCTACCTAGCGTAAGAGCCAATGGCTCCTTGTGGGGTAATTTATTTACCAAAATTAAAAAATAAAACCAGGGACTAGGGATGCTACTCAGTAGTAGAGTGTTTGCCCAATATGCATGAGTCCCTGGGATCATTCTCTAGTATAATAAAAACTAATCAATCAGTAAACAAATAAACAATGAAGCCAGAAATATTTTATCTCTTTCAATGTCTACAATCTAGAAAGAAGAAATGGCATTAATTATCAAAGAATGTGAAGGCTTTTATTTATTTATTTTGTCTTTTTCCTTTTTATTGGTACCAGGGATCGAACTCACGACTGCCTGCTTGCAAGGCAGGCGCTTATGCTGCTGAGCTAAATCCCCAGCCCCAAGGCTTTTAAATATACTACTTTTAAAACTTCCTTAATGAGTACTTACTAAGCCATGTCAATGACTTAAAGAAATAAGCTAGAAAGATACTATTTCATCCTGTATAAAATAGGCAAAAAAAGCAATAACACTAGAAATTTGCCATAAAAAGCTCAGATATCCATCATGAAACAACACAAATCAGTTGCAGTGTGTTCACAAAATGGAAAATTATTCAGCATTATAACGGAAATACAGCTCTACAACAATACCCTTATGCTGAATGAAATAAGCCTCACACAGGACAGTGTATATGTATGACTCCATTCACAGAAAGATTTATAACAAGCAAACTATTCTACCGTAAACAGTATTAGGGGCCTGGGGATTTAGCTCAGCGGCACAAGTGTCTGCCTGGCAAGCATGAAGGCATGAGTTTGATCCCAGTACCTCCCTCCCTCCCCACAAAATGATTATCAGATCAGTGGTTTCCTTTTTGGTGTTAGGAGAAAAGGATTGGCTGGGAAGGTACGTGAGGAAACTTTCTGGGGTTATGGCAATGTGCTATATCTTAATAAAAGTTTCAGTTACAAGGTATATGCATTTATCAAAATTCACTGTGCACTTAAGATTTGTGAATTTCACTGTATGTTAGTCCCCAATACCCCCCAAAAGTAATCTTAGAGGAAAACTAATCTTAAATTTTACTTAATTATGTGCATGCCTAAGAATCTAGAAAGAAGGGTACTGTTGTTTGTGTACTCTGAAATACATAAAAAATAAGATTGATGGAAAGAGAAATTAATAGATATCAATAAAGCAAGCACAGTAAAAAAAATTTTTTTTTGTCTTTTTTGATTTGGAGTCTCACTATGCAGTTCAGGCTGGCCTTGAGCTCACTAGCCCAGGCTGGTCTCGAACTTCCAAAGATCCTCCTATCCCAAGTGCTGAGATGACAGGCATGAGCCACCATACCTGGCCATAAAATTTT